AACAGTTTGGGCGTGACCATGGCCGTAGCCAGGGCGTACATGACGGGGCTGACCGTAGGAAAAGTGGACATGGCGCCGTTCGACAGTGAGTACGGCAGAGGACACAGTCGGATCATGGCCAACAGCTTCAACCCGTCATGTTTGAGAATGAGACTAAATGCGGCAAACCTCTTGTCGTGCGCGATCATCCGCTCTACCCACTTCCGCAGGATACTTCTTGACACAATGAAAGCGCAAAAGGATCCGACCACGGTGGCAGAAGCGAGAATAAGCCAGCCCTCCCAGACGCCATAGACGAAACCAGCGGTGGTGCCGGCGGTAGAATATCCAATGGCTGGCGGAAATGCACATAGAAAGACGATTGCCCACAGAATCGTCCAGCCCCCGGTTGTGTGTTTCCAGCGTTCGGCGAGAGGTTCGAGCCAGCCGAAGATACGTTCGTTGAACGCGAGGAACAGAACACCCAGTGTGGCCAACGCTACCAGTCCAAAACAGGCGAGGATCTTGTGCAGTAGAGTCATACCACCCCACACTCTATACGCACGGCGCGTCATCTTCTCAGCATTGTTGATCAGCTCGTCTCGCCATGCGGTTGATCGACTTGGAGCGAATGGAGAACTTCTGCCCGTGGAAATAGATCGTCGAGGAGGTCGCCAGGGACTGAGAAGTCCAGCTGGAGGAGAGTCGTCGTCAGAATCGGGTAGTGATACAGGACTTGGAGCCATTATGTAGGGGGTTAATGGAGGAAGGTTGATGGTAGGGATGTAGAGGCGATCGAGAATGAGCCCAGCGGGATGCTCGTATTTTAGGAGGCAAAGGAGGGTGCGGAGGTGGCGCGGGCTCAATAGTTGCGATCATCGACCATTGTGAAGACAGGACGAAGGTTTTTCATCGGGGGGAAGAAGTATACGAGGTACAGAGATGGGACGAGATTGTAGGCAGGCTGGGGAATCTTGAGTGAGATTGGAAAGCTGCGGCCTGAAGGTTGACGGATGATGCGTGTCGGATCAAGCTGTAACGCCAACTTCCGGCTGGTGGATCAAGCACGAGTTAAAGCAACTGGATACAACTGGATACTGTTGCTTGTGCCTTTCATTATTTATTACTTGGTGTCCTGAGCTTTGTCTACCTATCTACTGCATATATTGCGTACTTATTTCGTCGCTTTCCTAGTCGTGGTGTTCGAGGACTGGGTCATTGTCTTGGATACCATGGCCATTGTGTTGCTCGACTGGCCCTACTGATGCCCAAAGCATTGCTGTTGCACGGCTGATGGGAAGATTCTAAAACTGAATGAATTGTTGGCACTAACCTTGAACTGCCGTCTGCTGCGAGCATTGCTTATTCCAGAAATACACTATATTAATAATGTCCCAAGGACGACGTAGAGGCCAATACTATCTCGTGCTCACCTGAACTCTGTGCTCCGTTGACGTATATAGTACGCGGGATGCCGAGTGGAGGGTGCTCCAGGTGAGTGGCTCGAGATTGGGGGAGGGTAGGTACCTCCCTAGCATGTGTCTTGTACGTACCGAATCCCCTACTGATCCTCAAACCACGAGCACCGTGCGGGCGGTGGACAGAGGGCAGTGGGCGACGCGGGCAGCCTAAGTTAGCGGGTCTTCCTCCCCCGCCCTACCTCGAACTGCCTTGGGACTTATGTACGATACCCAAGGCGTGGATGGAGGAGACGCTAGTGACTTCCAACCCATCGACCTCCTCACCCTCATTCTACCCCCCTGTTCTCGGTCTCGCAACGAACCATCTGAAGAGCGGTGCTTGTGTTCCTCGAACTCATCTGTCCTTACAAAGTACTGCCTCCGTGGAACATTCCCTGCACTCTCTCATCCTCTCCCAAAGATTCCGTTCCTCTCTCGTTCACTCATTCTCAGTAATCGCCGTGCGTTACCTGCCCACGCGCCCAACCTGGACCGGCTGAGGACCTTGATCAACTCCACCTCACGGCGCTGTCAACTTTCACCTGGCGAGGAGCGTCGCACTGCCTTTATATTTGCCTAATGCCTTTTTGTACGCTTGACTGCTCGGTGAATGTGTCGACACTTCTTTGATCAGGACTGCAGTTGAAGCATCCTCGACCGGAACCCCCGCTATCCGTCTCGCTCACGCACTCTCAGTGCTCTGTGCATGGAAGAATGTCTGATATACCCTGAAGCAACCGGTATAATCACTTCGGATAACCTTTATCCACACCACAGCATTCAGAATCGCATGCGCACCCTTCCACGTTCATGTCGAGCACCAGCCGAGTCCTCTGAATTCTCCGTTTCTGCAATACTGCCAGCATACAGTTAGACTTCAATCACGACCGAAATGATTTCTGACGAACATTACGATCTTTGTCGGCCGGTTCTCGACGATCCCACGATAGAGGAGGAGGATAAGACTGAGCGTCTAGAAGAGTTATTAAGTAAAGTACCCGGTCTGAAGGGAGCAGCCTTGGAAAATGCCGTCCTTGATGCCCTATGGAAACATCGAAATGCTCAACGCGGAGAGACTGCCGAGACCCCTCTACGACATAATGTCATCCGCAAGTCATCTCCTGCTCCCTGGCAGGCGAACCGCGCTCCTACACCCCTAGGGTCACCGCCTCCGCTCTCGTCTAGCCCCGCGCTTTCTGCAGGATTTCCAGCCTCGCGTCCCAGCTTCTCCCGGCAGAAATCTAACATCCCCTCCCCTTTTGTATCTCCTCGACCTTCACCACGCCTTGCTCTGGTACAACCTATACCTCACAGTCCGAGCTTGAATGCCTATGAGTTTTCTGACGCGGGTCCTGCGCCTGATACATACGGGGACTACGGACACGAAAATGTTGATTGGCTCCTGGCTGATGAGTCTACCAGTAATGCTTCTTCTACAGCCACTGGAGGGTTGAGCGCTGCTGCACCAGAATGGGTGCCTCAACCAGATATGAGTCCCTATGACATCTTGCGTTCGGTCCTGGGCGACCGCAAGACAGACGAAGAGATCGAAGAAGCACTAAACAAGAATTCGTACGATTTAGGGGCTACCATTGCCTCCTTACTTGGAACAGACACCGCCGACACGCAGTATACGGGAGTCCCATCGTCCGAGAATAATGTTCTGGTCGGCAAATCCATGGCGGTCAACCATGCCCGACCTTCCACCCCTGGCCAGCAGAAGAACCCTATAGTCTGCAAATACTGGCTGACATCAGGCTCCTGCCTTCGCGCTGATTGCCGTTTTGCCCACGACACTAGCGGCTACCTGTGCAAGTGAGGCCGGTCCCTGTCCCTTTTCTTCTGAACTGTCGCACTGATGAAAGCTATAGATACTGGATGAACGGGAACTGTCTCGCTGGCGATGCTTGCCAATTCTCACACGATCCTGCTCTCCTCATCAATCATCTCACTGTGGGCGAAGGCCCAGTCACTCCACAGTCTTTTCAGCTGCAGGACCACTACGAACAGTTTCCCTCGCTCGCCAACCAGAACATCAGGAACACTCTTCAAGCTGGTCTGGCTGCTGGCAACACCTTCATCCCCGCTAACCAAAAGAACCGTAGTGCTTTGGGTACCCTTGGGTCGGGGTCTCGATCTCATTCTCGACCGAATTCACGCCATCAAAATCGACCGGAGACGCCCTCGTCCCTCTCTATGGACGACCCCGAAGCGTTTCCGAGTCTAGGCTCTGCAAAACGGGGATCCAAGCACCATGGCCACCGATCAAGACATGGTCATGGAAGCGCAGAGAAGGAAACGCCCTCTTCACTTGCTGATGTTGTCCGCATGTCGCCGTCCCCGGCCGCGGGTCAGCAGCGTAAAGGAGAGACCGGGCGCAAGATCAGGACATATGGAGGCTCTGAGAGTGCGGCGGCACGGAAGATTCCCGAACCTCAGCATATCCCGTGGCTCGAGACAGGCTCTCGTGCCAACCAGCAGTATCTGAAATATAGACAAGAAGCTATCAAGCATGGAAGCATACGGAATAAATTCTTACAAAGGTAAGTCCCCTACGGCATTAGCTCAGCATTCCTACACGATGCTAAAGACGCCCACAGCGCAGCACAGGCATGGAACCGGAACGACGCCCGCGCCGCAAAGGCCCTCTCTCTCCGGGGTCAGGCCGAGAACGATGCGATGCGCAAAGCACACCGCGAAGCTGCGAAGGCTCTTTATGAAGAGAGAAACAAACATCTATCTACTTCTCCCGTCGACGATGACGAAGAACTTTACATTGACCTACACGGCCTTCATCCCGAAGAAGCCATTGAGTATCTAGAGAATATCCTCCTCACCCATTCTAAACGAGGCAGAAGAATCATCTACGCGATCACGGGCACAGGCCATCACTCCAAGAATGGTAAGGATAAGGTAGGGAAGGGCGTAAGGAACTGGTTGAATGAATGGGGCTACACCTTCCGCGAGTTTAGTGTACCAGGGGAAAGGGGGGGATACATCGGTGGGGTTTTGGGCATTGATATCACAAGTCACAGGCGCCAGCCCATCTCCGCCGATGAGAAGGGGGACGTGCCCGAAGAAGGGACCTCACCGACACCCACAATAGCGACGGCCGTGGGAAGTGGAAAGATCCAGGTTCTCAAGCGCGAGGAAGTGCCTGCGTGAAGCTTGTAGCTGGAGCTCCAGTTGGATATACAGCACGACATGTGATGCCCAACCTGGGAGCGGTGAAATCATTGGATTTGCGTGAAAAGATGGTAGTTTTGTGGATGGTACCTTCACAGCTACATAGCCTCTCGGGGATGCATACTGGCTATTTTCCGAGACTCCGTTGGTAGAGCGCACCGGGGACCATCTTGTGCCTGCAGATCAACCTGTGAGGTCACGCAACAAATCGATATGTGTACCTTTGCGAGCCATTTCACGCCTTGACTTATCCACAGCTGAAACCCCGTCGATGCTCAAAAGGCAGATAGGCAGGTCCTGCAAAGATGGCCCATCGCCCCTCTCCCAGGCGTATGTATGTATTGTATGTTTTATATTCTTTTTCTCTTGGTCGGCTTACCGCCACTGCACACCAAACATCTTTGCGGCCTTGCCCTTTAAGCCCCTCTCGGCGTCTTTGTTTTCGAGGTAGACGGTCTCGTGGCCCTTGACGGCCAAGCTCAACAGCTCGTACTCGAGCCTGTCGGCGTCCTTGGGCCTGGTCATGTGCACAGTGACGACGCCCAGGACGCCGCTCTCGACGCCCTCGACGTTGAAGTGCATGCGGAAACGGGTGGTGCCGAACCGGTCGACCTCGGTCGAGTGTGCGAGCGGGCGGGCGCGCGCCCATTTGTTCGTGGTCGGTTCGCCGTAGGCCTTTATCTGGGACGCCGGGCCGAGCAGGGCGCGACACTCGGGCGAGGCCTTGATGCGCGAGACCGCCGCGTTGAATTGGATCGTGTACGACGACGGGGAGAACAGGTCCGTGTAGAGAAAGTAGGCGATGGTGATCTAGTATTTTTCCAGAAGGAAGCCTTCGCGTCAGCATGAGTTCCCTTTTTTTTTCCCTTTACCGCGGAAGAGTGAGCGGGGAGAAGAGAGGGGATCATGGAGGAAGGGGAGGCGACGAAGAAGAAGAAGAAGAAGAAGAAGAAGAAGAAGAAGAAGAAGAAGAAGAAGAAGGAAGAGGCGATGGATGATGATGACGACGCACAGTGCCGACAAGACCCAGCGTGACGAGCAAAAAGTTGAATGTCTGCTGCGTCCCCCGCGCGGCTTTCTCGCCCGTGCTCAGCTCGTTCCAATTATATCGGCCATCGTCCGTGGTGACGGTGACGGCTCGTCGACCGGAGCTCGTGCTCGCATGACGCTGGTGTGAGAGCGACTGCGTTTGCCGCCGTGGTCGCGGTCGCGGCGCTGACGTTGCCGGGAGTGTACGAGGATGATCGACGACGACGCGGGATGCGGACGAGGAGCAAAGAGGGCGTCGGCTCAGACATATTGAGCGTTCAGACACGAGATACAGGCGCGGTAGCGGTGAAGATTCCAAGCTGCCGACCAGGGAACCTGGAGCGAGAGCTGCAAAGCTGCCACCATGCGTCCTGCGAACATGGAGCCGGCACGCCCGCTGAAAAGCGCGGGCTTTGCTGGCCATTGCTTATGCGACACAACCCCCCCCCAGCCGAGTATGCAGTATTTTCTGTAGTGTCCGCCCGCTCTTCTTGAAATCCTAGGCTCCGCCGTACGGATACCTTTGTCCAATTTAGTAACCACTGCTTGTTGTTTTTCGTGAGAGGGAGGCGGTCGCGCGTGCTTCGGAAGAAACCAATGCAATGGCTGTGTGTATGTGAGAGTGAAAGCTGAATGGATGTGCAGGGGACGTTGACCCTCGAAATTTGCGGGGACCCCAAGTACGAGAAAGTCTCGGAAGGTCCGTCCACTGATGTTATTGGCTGTCGGCACAGGGGAAAGTATTCCAGTGCACGTGATACTTGGGATCTCATAATGAATCTCAAAGCATATAAACTTGGACCTTGTAGTTGCGTCTAGAGCTAAACTATATATAGAGACGCTTGCCACTTTACGCTTTACAGATTTTCCCTCCCAGAGAAGACAAAACGATGGTAAATATCCCCATTAGGCTAATAATACACCAACTACTGAAGTCAACAGACTGAGGTTCAAGTCGATGTCCACATAGGCACAGACGGCAGAGATGTGCAGGTGACGAAAGTGGGCGTACTTCGAAAGGTAGGGCGGCGAGATAGATTGGGTACAACATCCAGCACCTCCGAGTACCTTGGGAGCAAAGGTTTGCATGAGCGTCTTTCTGCTCTTCTCGATATCAAAGTATTTGCGTATCACTGCGTCCAAGCCACCATCCATCTCTTCCAATACCAATAAACAAATGGGTAAACAAATAGAAAATATATCAATGGCCGTAGTGTCAATGCCGCCTGATGGCAACAGCACCTTATCATGATATTCCCGATCCTTTTCATTATCCAATTTACACTCCTTTACCCGTTCCCTAATGATGACCCTGCTTTTCCTCCGCTGCCCCAGCGCTGTTTTCGCTTGTCCCATCTTATCCAAGGTAACGTGGTAATTCTGCTCTTGCCGTATTCCAGATATCCAAGTAAAGCACTCTTCCGACACTCTCGACTGTGGAGACCTGATTCCCAACCACAACACACGCAGCAGATCATCCATATCTAATCCGAGCCGCTAGTTCCCCTTGGTAGTCCAAGCAGACTCGTTATGAACCTGCTGGCCTTTCTCCCCGTCCTGGGTCCATTGGTGCTTGCTTTCCAAGAGCTTGTCCTTCTGCGACCGGTCTTTCGGTCACACTAGACAGCACCTCGTCGCGGGGTCTGTCAAATGATCTTCCCCGAGGTGCCAAGTGCTCCTGGGCGAAAGCTGCCAGGCTGCTCCGGGAGGAGCCTTGCTCGTTCCTGGGAGGACTCTTTGCCCGATCCTTCTCAGCCAGCTTTTCGTCTCTGTTCTGTGACATCTTGGCTTTCCATTTCCCGAACAAGCCCTTCTTCTCTGTCTCGGCATTGAGGTCCTTCTGCACATCATTTGATTCCTGGCTTGACTGACCCATAAGGGGCTGCTGCCCAATCGCGCTGGGATCAACATACGAGGATTGTGTCAGTTGAGAATCGCCAGTAAAGCTCTTCCTGGGTCGACTGGAACCGATCGAACTGTTGCTCCCCCTTGCCCCGGCGTTCTGGCCAACGGTTGGCGGCGGCGCAAGCGGCGACTGTTCTCCTTTCCTTGCTGCAGCGGAGAATCTCCATCGATGGCGACGCTTTTCCTTCTCTGGTTGCTGTACCGCATCGTCGACAACATCGGCATCTGAGGGATCGGTAAATGAGGAGCGGGAGTGCGTCGATCCTGGCGGAGATGTAGGAGGCTTCAACCCTGCCGCGTGATTTTGCACGGTGTTTGTAGTGGGTGGTGTCGAGAATTGCTTCGAGTTTGGAGTATCATTGACGGGCGTTGCGGCAGTATTCGTGAGAGCGGGACCTTGAGGCGCAGCCAGTGGATCGTGTCGCCCAATGCTATTAATATCAGGTGAAACCAGAGGCGTGTGGAAAGTGCCTGCGTCGTCGCCATGGAGTGAATTCAATGAGCTTTGAGCACTGTCATTGCTACTGCCAGGCAACTTTGGCTTCTTTTGTAATTTTCGCGGTTGCCTACCGTTGGGATCCGACGGACCAAATATGGGCGACTTTGGGAAAAGATTAGATATCTTCCGTTCTCGAGTCGTGAAGGGTGGTGCAGCCGCAGCCGCAGCCGCAGCCATTCCTTGTGCCTGACCGGTCTGGCTCTGGTTTGGTATGCTCTGTACGCTTGGTGGTGGAGGTTGCACCTGTTGTTGCGGAAATTGAACCGGTGCCTGGGCGGCTTGTGCAGAAACCAACGGTCCTCTGCCGTCAGCATCATCTGGTTGGATAGACCCAGATCTAGATGACTTTGACTCAGCAGTTTCCTGGTTCAGGGCTGAAGGGCCTGGATGCACGGAGTTCTGTCCCACTGGCTGAGCCGTCGAATCGGTATTCTCATTAGATCTCGGAAAGCGATTCGAGGTGATGGCTGGAGATCGTTTCGATGGCACAGTATTGCTCCGCGCGATTCCCGCAGCTCCCGCGAACGAAGTGACTCCAGATGGAGTCCCCGGGCTCGAAACCCCAGGGCTGCCTCGTTCTCGGGAACCGCGCGACGACACGGATACGTTACGCCGAACTCCATATTTCCGGAGACTGTCAGCACCAGCACTGGCATTGGAGGCAGACCGTCCCACAGCCTTCGGAGACCGCAAGGACGGTGCACCGCTCTCAACGTCCTTCTGAGTCTTTTCGTCGACCGCGGTACCTGACATTCCAATGAGGAAATTATCCTGGTTTTCAATCAAGAAGATCAAGACCTCTTGACTGAGTCGATATTCTCCTGGCGCCATGTCGTGTGAAGGATGAGATATTATACCTGGCTGGAAGATGGCGGCGAGATTGGCGGCAGTCATGCGATTGAGGTCCGACTTGGACGCAAAGACTGCAAGTAGATCGAGAATGTAGAGGAGCAACTGGCGATTCAAAGGCGGTAGCTCCGTGATGAGCTTTTGATAGGCAGAAACGGCGGCGGCATGTTCAGCCATACTCATATCGCGAGATTGCATTTCACCATCCGGCCCTGTCGGAACCTGTACCAGACGGAGTGGTTCGCGAAACCGTTCGTAGAAATCGAGAGGAACAATGGGTTCCGGGAGCTGATTGAGGTAGCGGCGAAGGATGTTGGCAGCATCGTGGACAGTATAGCCAGTCCAATCTAAGCCCTTTCCGTACCTGTCAGGCGAGTTGAAAATGGTTTGTAAGTCTTTGATTCGTTTCGCGGACCCGCTCAGCCGGAAGATACCCTCGACATCGGTAGCTAAAGACCTGTCAGTTGTTTGTCTAGTGTTTGTCTCCCAGGCAAGCCTCTACCTTTCTCTTTGAGGAAAACTCCACACTTCGCTACCACGATCGGGACGTAGCCATAGATGAAACTCTCACCATATTCGTTCTGCAGGGAGATGGCGACATTGGCGTATCTGATGCTCTCGGCCAAAGGAACGCCAAAGATACCAGTGGGAGCTTCAACTATTAGAAGGGTTAGCTAACCATCCGGTCGTGGGTGATAAAGAATCTTGGTAGATTTTGGCTGCCTCAACAGCTGTGTCTCTCAGATATATGGGATGATTTGTTTTGGCTTCTCTTACCCTTGTCATCCGTTGTTTTTTCTGTGGTCTTCCTGAATTTTTTCCACCAGGATGCTAGTTCTCGCTTTGACGGAGGAGACGCGGTGGTCAACGGTGCAGGCGCCGGAGGAGCACCACCACCGCCACCACCACCACGGGAGGGTTTTTGGGCAAAGGGACGTGGAGGGCTCGGAGTGCCTGCGCCTCCCGTTGCCATAATGCGGCTACAGGCGCAGATGCGCTCTTCGCCACGGTTCGAAAGGAGGGAGATCAGTTGCCTATGATGCCTGACGTGCCGTTCACTTTGCTAGTAGCGGTTTCAGTCGAAAATCACACTGTATCGCAGAGCGGCGCGACCTCCTTGAAAGACGCAGTCGGTCGCCTTTACGCGTTGTTTGACCAGTCCACGACAGACAAGAGAAGGGTGATCGTGGCAAAGGCGGACAACAACTATGTGTGATAATGTCGGAAGAAGAAGTGCTGTTTCTGAATGGGTTCAAGGGTTGGGTTGCGAGGACTATCAGCTGAAGCGAATGGCTGGCCAAGCGCGCAGCAAGGGCACCGATGCCGATCAAAGGAATTTCTGGGCGACCGACAAAAGCAGTCAGTCTGACTGCTGTTCTTCGATCGATGGTGAAGGAAGGATGCTGGAAAACGCTGAAGGTGAAAGTACTGAGAAATCAGAATAAAAACGCGACCCTAAAGGTCCTGACAGGTTTGTCAGGGGGACGATGACATGGGAGAGGGGGGTTTTACAATTCTTGTGTGAGATCAAGAGAGTGTTTGGGATGTGTTGGTAGATGGGCCTGGTGACTGCGATTCGAAGACCACACAGGTCGCAGCTGAGTAGAGTTTGGGCAAGAGCAGGTTCGGGTGGGCTTTTGCGGGTGTCTAGTTGATGTCTAGCGGGTGGATGGTCGGTGCCCACCTATTATTTGTTAGGGTGTCCAGGTGCCTGCACCAACTACGGAGTAGTACTTGGGCGGAGCAGTCAGCGATGGCCTGGTTGTTTACTCGTAAGCAGCGGTGGCAGGAGGCAGGTGGCAGGTGGCAGGCAGGTGAGCACCCCATCTTCCTCTACTAGTATTATTTGATTTGGACCCCTCAAATCACCCACCCGCAGTTAGCACAGTCAAGACATCAATTGCTTATTTCCCTCGGGCTTCCTTCTCAGACATTTGGCTGACCCATGTCGTTTCTGAATCTAGTGCTTTGTTGACATTGGGTTTACTTACTTCCTTGGGGATGCGCACCGCACATTAGCTTGGTGCCTAGCGAAACTGTCGAGCTTTCCAGATTCTACGTCTCTACCACTATTGTCATCTGATAGATCTCCCGGGAGCTACGTGTCACCGCGGTGATCTGCACGGTGCGTCAAAGCCTCTTGCTTGCCACGCTTGCTTGACTATCGAACG